CTTTTTCTATAGTAATAGTGTAGAAAACGGTTATTTTTATTTTTCACCTTTCTATATTAATAGAGTACAAAACGGTTAGTTGTATTCCTCATTTTTCTGTAGTGATAAAATAGTAAATCCTATTTATTTTTTATTTTCTATATTGATCATATAGAAACAGCTAGTTTTATGTCCTATTTGTCTATAGTAATAATAATAATTTAGAAAATGCTGATTTTAATTTCTTATTTTTGGCATTGGTCATATGGAGAATGTTATTTTTTATTTTTCTACGTTAGTAACAAAAATAACAATTTGTTTTAGTCTCTATTTTTTGTATATTGTTGACATAGAAAATCCTAGTTTTTATTTTGTATTTTTCTATATCGATAATATAGAAAAATAAGAATTAAAACTAACTGATATTAATATTATCAATTAAAATCAATAAGAATTCAAAAATAAGATTTTCTATATTATCGTTATAGAGATATCAAAAATTAAAATTGAGATTTTCTATATTATCAATATAAAAAATCAAAAATAATAAATAAAATTTTCTAAACTGCCAATTTAGAAAAACAAGAAATCAGAATTAAGATTCTTGTATTATTGATATAGAAAATAAAGGCAATAAAACTAACTGTTATCTATATTACCAACATAGAAAAATTAAAATTAAAACTAATTGTTATTTATATTATTAATATAGAAAAATGAAAAATAATGAATAGGATTTTATATAATATCAAATATAGAGCAAATGTTAACTGTACTTGTTCTAAAATAAGACTGAAGTTTATGTGTAAAAAAATGAAGCAAAGTAGCCTGTCAAACTGATTATTTCCATGTGTATAAGAGATATTTGAGAAGTTTGATTTAATTGAAATAAATCTATAGTATTAATAAGCATTTCATATAGCTCTATGCAATCATCTATAAGTAGAAAATAAAATTATCTACTCGAATTTTATGTCTCATAATCTCTTTGATTTAAAAAGCAGAAAGTATTGTTTTGTTTTTGACTCTCATCTTCGAGTTGTTTGACACATAATTAAAGGTCTCATACCGTTTGACATGTAAATGTACTCTCTTCCAATTGAACTGAGACATTAAACATATTAAAAATAAATGACATTACATGTAATAAAAATGAAAATTGATTAAATAGTATTAAATTTAATCAAGATCTCAATTATAGCTAGATTCTTCATAGATAAATTAAGAAGGATGAAATTATTTAAATTATTTTTAGGGAGTTTATAAAACTGCATGACTTTTTTTATTAACTTCATCAGTTCTGTAACTGTCCATTCAAGATATAATCATAGAAGTATTGTTTCTAGTTTAAAGCTCAAATCAATATCAATATCAACCTTTAGAAAATTCTAGACCAACAATAAAAATTTGAAGAAGAAATCTTCACACTTATTGCTATTGAGAATAGCTAAAATCATGATGAAATCTTTTACGATCGTTTTTTTTGTGAGAATCCTCAAAAATTTACACCTATTGAATAGCCTACAAAACACAAACTTGCAAAGATTTTAGATCAATGTTTCGATAGAAGATTCGTATTGTCTTGTAAAGAAGTGAAAATACTTAATTGTAAGAAGTTCGAAATCGATCCGTGAGACGAAACTGCTATTGTTTAAAAAACCGTGTTTCATACACCCATACCCTATTAAGTTGAAAATTTGTAATACATTAGAAATGAATTCAGAATAAAAGATTTGATTGATTCATATATAGATCATTGTTTGTGCTACAATGCCGAATAATGAACATGACAGATTTTTTAGATAACCTTGAACTTGGGAGAGATTTGTTTTTGAGTTCTTTTCATCTACTAAAATTCGAACTTATGCATTTTTTATCTAAACTTATCTTATTTAGCACTTCGATTAATCTTTCTACAAACTACTTGTTTGTTTGAAATTCAGGAATAAATTACTCAATAATAAGTATGATGCAATATTCATGACATAAAATACTTTCGAATGGTGTATGATTTATATTTGTCACACATTTGTAAATGGAATAAGAAAGAAAAACACTTACACAAAAAATTTGTAATTTTTTTATATGAATCAGTCAAAAACGTCTTATGCATGGTAGTTAAGTATAATTAACTATCGTTATTATCTAGCAAGATGTTTTTAACGAATTCATATAAAAGTGGCAAATTTATTTTGTCTCATTTCACTCAGAAATGTGTGACGAACATAAATCATACACCGTTTCCTATCAACTGATAACAAATTTTTTTCCTCACATTCAAATTCTATTATAACTCATTTATTGTAAAACCCAAACAAAAAAAATGAAATGATTTTTAAATTGATGACATGCAAAATCTAAATATATTTTAAAATCGAACTAACGAAATCAGTGAATATGTTGGAAAAATTTGATATAAAAGAAAATTTCATTTACGATAAAATTCGAGTTCATCGCAATTTTTCACATTACCAATTAAATTTTAGTTAGTTTTAGTCAAACTAAGGATTCTTATACAAAATATTTGAAAACATCAACAATGTTTTGTTTTCAACATTGAGAAAAACCAGATTCTAATCAAGTTCACAAGTAAAAAGCTTTTGTAATTGAGAGCAGTTCAATACTGTTTAAAACAAATGAGAATGATTCATTTCAATGAAATCGATGTTTATTTTTACTTCACTTTCGTTTCATTTCAGTACCAATGCGTGCAAGTTCCATTGATATTCATCCAAATGCAAAATGGTCACAGAATGGTATCACTGTTGCTGGAGGAAATGGACGAGGCAGTGAAACCAATCAACTCGGTTATCCATGTGGTTTGTACGTCGACGATGATCAAACGGTTTATGTCGCTGATTCGGGTAATCACCGTATTATGGAATGGAAATCTGGTGCAACGAATGGAAAAGTAGTTGCTGGTGGAAATGGAGAAGGAAATGGAGCTCATCAGTTACACTGCCCATTAGATGTGATTATCGACAAAGAGAGTGATAGTCTCATCATCTCCGATTACCCGAATAAAAGAGTAGTTCGATGGCCTCGTCGAAATGGTACTCGTGGAGAAACTATTATTTCAAATATCTCTTGCATTGGTTTGACAATGGACAACAATGGTTTTCTCTATGTCGTTGACTATGAAAAGCATGAAGTGAGACGATATAAAATTGGTGACACTAAAGGAACAGTGGTTGCAGGTGGCAATGGAGAAGGAAATCGTCTCGATCAACTCTCTATTCCCCGACACGTATTTGTCGATCGAGATCATTCAGTTTATGTGTCTGATCGTGACAATCATCGTGTCATGAAATGGGAAGAAGGTGCAACACAAGGCATTATCGTCGCCGGTGGTCAAGGAGAAGGAAATAGTCTTACACAATTGAATGAACCTGAAGGAGTCGTTGTCGATCAATTGGGTACTGTCTATGTGGCTGATTCTGAGAATCATCGAATCATGCGTTGGCCAAAAGGAGCCACACAGGGAAGTGTCATTGTTGGTGGAAACGGTGGAGGAGCACAATCGAATCAACTCAATGGTTCCGTTGGTTTATCATTCGATCGACATGGCAATCTCTATGTCGTCGACTACCGGAATCATCGAGTACAAAAATTTAATATCGAATGAACTCAATACGATGATGAATTTTATTTTCTTTTTGTTCTCTTTCTCTTTCAAATAAATTGCGATTGAATGAAAAAATGAATTCATAGGACTTCTATTCGTGCGCGCGACCAGGAACCATCCTGGTGGAGCCGTGGCGAGCGTAAAGCTCATGCGCGCGGGAAGACCCACATCATCCACATGCACCCATCCGATGGCATATGTCAGTGAGTCTGGGGGCCCGATCGTGTGCCACGGACACCAAGACAGTTCCTGGCCAGGCTTTTAGGGACTACCCGGAAGTCCTTCTTATAAAGCGAAACCCTAAACTCAACGTACCTCACTCACCCTAACTATTCTCATCTCAACGAAGAAAAGAAAAATTAACTCACCCGTTGATGTTGAATGATGACGTCTTTAACAGGAAAAGAAAAACATGAATATAAAAGATCATAAGAGGACTTACCTCCCTCTGTACGATCCAATAAAGAAAAAAAGAAAAAGAAAAAAAAAGAAACTGATACCTACATTTTTTTATTGTGTTGTATTGATTTGAATTGTATAATTTTGTATCGTCGAAATCATTCTAAAATATAAAAAGAAAAGATTAATATTTGATTCAATAAATTGAATGATTTTACATAGAAAATCATTCATATTTATACGTTAAAAAATCGATATTTTACTTTTTTTTTTCGTCAGAGAGTGATGAAAAGATGATAGTAATTAAGCTATCATCTACATACACACATACATTGATATACACATGGATTATGTCATATTATCATTGATCATCAATGATAACCTGAACAATGACGACTTACGGACGAGAGAAGAAACGAAAAAAAAAATATTGTCGTGACCTATATTATTTTTTTCATTCTTCTCTCACTTCCATATTCAGTTGTGAGCACGAAACAGACGAGCACGCAATATTCAAGTATGTTCATATCATTCACTTCTTTTTTGTTCTGTTCGGAGTCTATGGGCTTTTTTATTTCAAACTGAATTCTAAAATCAAAAAAACCACACCAATTTCTTCCGAATCAAACTTTTCTCGCTTGATACTACGTAGTCTCACTAAAAACCCTTAGCCCCCCCCACAAAAAGCTTAGTCCCCGCTTAGTCCCCTGTGCAAGGGACTAAAGCCTATAGTACACAAAACCACAAGCACACCCTCACCCTCACTCGCGCGCCCACACCCGCACCATGGGTGTGGGTGTGTGTGTGGGTCCCAGACCAACACCCACACCCTCAGTCACCCTCCCCCCTCACTCCTAGACTCATGTTTCAGTTTGAAATCAAGTATTATTTTTATTTGATAAATTCAGACTGAAATTAAATAGCCCATAGTATGTCTGTTCGATAGATCAACTTTGGGATATGAATAAACAGTTTATTTTATTTTAATTCAATTTAAATGAAATCATTGAAAAATGATCGATATTGGATTTTAACAGTTCATTCAACATTAAATTTATTTGCTGCTGGTAAGATTCTTCTCATTTTCAAAAATAAAAAAGTAAAATAAAATATTTGTTTGCTAGGTCATGATAATCAAATATTCACGACGATTGGAAATTAGAACATCAAAAGGTGTTCCTCTAATGTAATTACAAAGGTAAATTTTTTAAAATAAATTAATTGTTTTATTTTATTTGAAAATACTGAATGGTTCACGTTCGAAAGATGCTAGTGAATCAAGAAATTCAATATAAAACTCTGAATGATATGATTTATTCGAATTGAATGTTAGGATTTTAAAAAGGTCTAACATTTCAAAAAGAGAAACATATTTTATCTAAATTGTTCGATACTTTTAATGTATATTCTTTTCTAGTATGTGAAGGTCGTCGTTCATCTGATTTAAATGCCATAAGGGTTGCTTTAAATCTTTTTTATGGATTTTAATACAACAAAAAAAAATTTAATTAGCAAATTGTAATGAAATATTTTATGCTGATAGAGGTCGTGATTAATTCGTGAAAATGATCATATTAATACATATGATGCTTAACAAAAATATTCATTAGCAAGTGTAAGAAAAGGCAAAGTTAAATATACAATGTGGTCAAATGATACGAATTACTTATCATTATTAGGATGAGTCAGGTGTTTTTCTTCATACAGCATTAAATCATATTAAGTATGAACTTATGAATGGTGATCATGGAATTATTCATATACTTGATTTATATATTTATATACAAAAGTTGAAGTAATAGAAAATACGATGAAGTAAAATTTACAAATTTCTTGTTCAAAAATCTTCATCTTGAAAACAAATGATGCAAAAACAAGATTTAGCTTAGCACTTGAATATAGAAATATTGATGTAAATTATTTGTGTTTTTTTTTAAATAGTTTCAATTATCTATTTTTTGAAAAATGATGAAAATTGGTTTGAAAAGTTTCTTATTGTTTAGCTGAAGTACGAAAAGATGTTAGTAGACAATTTCAAATTGCAATATTATTAGGAGATGTTGAAGAACGTATTAAATTTCGTAGACAATGCAATCAAAGTAATATTTTATATTTTTTCTCTATGAGATTGAACTATGTTATGTCTTTTTTTGTACAATAGAATCATTTGATGAAAAAGTAATTTATTATGGATAAAAAAAATACTCTCATGTTAGTACTTCGTCCGAGAGGGTTTTTAAAAAAATTAAAGCAATTTAGAAAGTTTTATTTTTCGTTTTCTAATATCTTCAATTGAAAGTCTTGAAAACTAGTTATAGATTTTCATGTACATATATCAATTTTTTTGAGATATTAAATAATTTCTAAACAATCTTTAATTGTACTCAACACATCATTTATCTAAAGCGTTTTCTGTAGTGTTGTATAAAGAAGTTTATGATGATTCTCGAAGTTTATTACGACATTGAATGATAACATGTTTTTTTTTAAAGACATTTCAAATAATCACCATGTCATAGTTAGTTTAGTTTATTTTCTCTGATTGATATTCATTAGAATGTAGGTTAAAATAAAATAAGAAGAATTTTTATGTTCTATTTCAAAAATGGTATAAGCCGGTAGACTGAGATTTTAACAAAGTTATTACTGTTACTTGTTCTTTGTTTAATTGATATGTTAGATATGAACTAATAAGATAGACATACATTTAAACAATATTAATCTCGTGTTAAATTTAGTAATTCAAAATAAAATATTTATTTTAGATACCTGATATAAATCTAAATGCTAAGTTAATTTTATCACCATGTTCAATAAGTCAACAAGAATCTAAGCAAATTTAATATCAAACATAACAGCAAAACTTGCTTTAAATCTGCATATTAATGAAACAGCAACAAGTGGTTGAGATTGGGCTGATGATGAAGTACCAATTGAAAATGATGACGATGATCTTAATAATAATCAAGATGAAGGTTGAGGTGATACTGGAATTGAATTATCACCTGATCTTGTATGTTTTTATTCAAATATATTCACGTTCACGTACAGCTTTTACAGCACTTCCATCATTATCATCATTATATGCATATTTCATTAAGAAATCGGTTTGTATTTGTTCATTTAATAAATATTTTAAAATTTTTATTTTAAATATTAAGGCGTGAAGTCCATTCACCAAAACTATTTTATCCAGCAGTTGGACGTCTTCAAATCGCTTATCGTTTAACAACAAATGGAAAATTTCAAGAAGCTGTTGAAAAATTTCGTTCAATATTATTATCTGTTGCATTATGTATTGTTGAATCACGTCAAGATATTCTTGAGAGTCAACAATTAACTGAAATATGTAAAGAATATATTGTTGGTTTACAAATGTTAATGGCAAAAAAAGATTTAGCAAAAGATGATCATGACATTATAATCTTCGTTTAAGCATTTGAAATTAAAAAATTATAAAGCTGCAACAAGCTTTGCCATACGTTTATTGGAATTGGAACCAGCATCTGATGTTGCTCAATAGGTTTTTAGCTTTAGTATTAATCTTTCATTTTTGAAACCAAATATTCTTATTCTTTCTTGACTTCAACTTTGAAAGGTTTTAAAATAAACGAAAAAAAACAAGAAAGAAAACATCTTTAATGCTTTCAAGATATTTCAAATCTGTTGATAGAAATTTTTCATGTTTTTTTCATTTATTTGAAAACAATTGAGTTTATTCTTTGTTAAATGAAACATAATTTTGATTGAATTATTTTAGAAGACGAACAAAAAACAATAAAAACTTCTTTTTTTTGTGTTCTTTTGTTTAGACACGGAAAGTATTAAGTGTTCGTGAAAAAAATCCAATTGATGAACATCTATTAAATTATGATGAATATAATCCATTTAATATTTGTGCTGCATCCTATGTACCACATTTATCGGTAACAAATTTAAAGATGAAACCGAATTTAATTTAAAGTAATCTTTAATTCTTGGTTAGTGAAAATTCATTATCTGGTACAGCCTATTTACCGGATTTCATAGGACAATTATGTCGTGTTACAAAAGCAACTGAATTGGAAAAGAATCTATTGGTCTTAAAATTTCAATGAGTCAATTTTGTTAGAATAAAGAAAAAAAGAACTGTT